TTTAATTTCATTAGGTTTTAGTGTATATTGCAGTAATTTAAGGAAAGACTTAGAATGACCAGTTTGGACTTTTATAGACTCCACACTTTTAATTCTTTCTCTATCATTTGAGGTAGAGACCCATAAATATTCCGGGGTTTTAGAAAGGTGTTTCGTTATGGGCCTGAGTTTTGATCTTATCGATTTGTCTGTAGAGAGCACAACCGTTCTGGCTCAGGAGACTCAGGAATCTCTACGATTGCTTCTCCCTCTGAGGAGAATTGTATGTGCCCTTTCAACTTTGAAAGTCCTGCCCTGGCAAGTTTACTGGATCAGTATTACATAGTAGAAAGGTACATTTTACTGCAAATAGCCCCAAGTTGATTAGACAGGTTCAGATACAGAAGCCTCTTGAACTTGATTTGAAACGCTCACCACAGAGATGATCTTTTCACTCCAAGAGATTCGTTGGCTTATTAAAGTAGGGTTTATGCTGGATAAGGCGACCCTGGTATACACCAGCATTGCACAGGATTCCCAGCTTAAGTCTTGTTTTTCTATGTTTATTTAAAGGTATTTTGGGGAGCAGTTTACCAGAGAATCCCTGAGCCTTGTCTATTTTTATTATCCTGAGCGTTAAAATCTCTTGGGTCCCCTCTCGTGGTGAACCAGTTCAGCCTAAAGGGAGGAGGCTTGGTGGTGAACTGAGACAAAAGTCAACAATCTCCTTTCCCAGTGTCCTGGGTGTTTGCAATGAAGGCATCTACCCTGGGGTAAGGCATTCCTTATTCTGGACCTCCTGCTTGTGATTTAAAATAAAAATGAGAAGGTCTCTTTGGTCTTGGCCCCGGTAACTGTTATAATTGGAGAGGCATAAGATTGTTAGCCTTTTGGGTTTTTTCTTGCTCTAGAGTCTTCTCAAAATGTTCAGCTAAGGCCACCAATTCAGTCATGTCTGTAACTTTCCATCCTGGCTTACGTGTTTTAATTGAACTGCCAAGTTCCTAGGATGGAGTTCATTTGTAAATACAGCAGTTAATGCCATTCCAGTCCCTGAAGGAAATACTCCTTGCTATATTGAGCACAAAATGTTTCAGAAACAGTGTTTCTAACAAGTTCTGTAATCTGAAACTGGTTCCTCCTGCTTTGGTCTGCAGGGTTGGATGATGCACCAGTCAGTTTTTTCTGGAATGATCTTAGGACGTGAATGTAAAATGTTTTCAGCATTTTTTTCTAGCTCCTTTTACCCCTTCTCATGCAGGGGTTTTCGGGGGTCTTTAATATCCTCCTCAGGTCCACCCCATTCTGCTGCTGCCATCCATTTCTTAGCTTCTCCAGGCCCCAATATTATGTGAATAAATTGGCTAAGGTCAGGGAGCCATTCTAAATTCCTCAGTAAACCCTTGAGGCTTCATCCTTGGGTCAGGGAAGTCCTTTACAGTGGCTCGAAGCTCAGTTTTAGGCCATGGAGTAAAGGTGTTTATCGCAGGAAGACCTGGCTGATCAGAAGGTCTTTCTTTGTAAGCATCTGGGTGTTTTGTTTTGTTTTTTTTCATCTTCATGGTAAAAGGGTAACTTATTAAAAATGTTAGTGGACTCACAATGTGTGAGTAGAGATGGATAAAAAGAAGGAATAGCTGTGAGTAGAGATGAATAAAAGGAAGGAACAGGGGCTGGGCAGGGTGACTCACCCCTGCCCTCACCCAGCGCTGGTGTCAGGGTTGATGGAAGGCAGGGAGAAACGAGTGGACAGCAGTTAGCAGGCCCCTGGAACCCCATAGCTGGCACTTCCCCCTCCCACAAAGATGAACAGAGGCAGCCCCTCACAACATCATCACAGGTCCCCCAGGCTGGGTGGGCAGTGCCAGGAGGAGGGGCCACCTCCTTCTGGGAGTGGCATTATCCTTTCTGGTTCCGCCATGCCTTCTAACCATGCCAGAAGAGGGTGTGAGCACAATGGCCTTGGCTGCCCCCAGGAGGGGGCAGAGGAAAAATGGTTGGGGGTGAGGCCTGAGTGGACAGAGGAGAGCACTGAGCAGATGGCAAGATCTTGCCTGGGCCGTATAGTCTGGGTGGTGCCCAGGAAGAGTGAGGTGGGGTTTTGAGCCCCCATGACAAAGCCACCTCTGGGAGGCCTGGACTGTGGCCCAGCACTGATGAAGTGACCTGCACTCTGGGTCCAGTCAGCTTATGGTCAGGAGGGCAGTGGTGGGTGCAATACAGTGCTGAACCTTCTTGAGCCCCAAGGAAAGGTGGAGAAATCATCTGTGTGCCTCCAGGTGGAGGTCTGGGCCAAACCCATAGACTCTCTGGTCGCTCTTGCTCTGGGTTCGGCCTTGATCTTTGTGTGTGACCTGGGGCAGGCAGGGTGAGGGTGCTGTTATGTGAAGGGACCCCAACTCTGTGCTGCAAGGAGAGAGAGAGGCTGGAGAAAGAGAAAGAGACTCAGCTCTAGTGCTCTGGGGCTTTGGGACCAGGGTGCTCCCCTTCAAGGAAGGCAGCTTGTCAGAGGCAGCATCAGAGCTGAGGCTGAGGCTCAGGATGTCTGGGCTTAGATGTGCAACATGGAAAGGTAAGGAGCAGAGCCCTCAAGGCAGAGGAGCGAGGGAGGGTGCCAGGGCACAGCCAGCTCTTCTAGTAGCTGGGATTTGATTGCCTGAAGTCAGGGTGTGGAGACCCCAAGAGCCTGGCAGGGGAAGGTCTGGCGTGCAGGCTGGGTGGAGGGACTGGATCTTGCCAGCAATGCAGAGCATTTCTGGAGGGTATGAGCTGGAAGGGAAGACGGTGCCGGAAGGACTAGATTTGGGGATGGGTGGAGCCAGGGAGAGCAGGCTAACACACTTGGGTTGTACTAAGGAAGCCTGAATCCCTGAACAGGTAGCAGGAGCCCAGTCAGGCATGGAGGAGGGTGGACAGGCAGCTGCAGACACAGGTGGCTCAGGACAGGGTCTGAGGGGGCACAAGGGGAAAGTGAGCATCATCCTGGATGGGGATTAGGAGGGCAGGGGCAGGAGAGGGCAGGTGCCAGGATGGGGCCTAGAGGGGAGAAGGGCCGCTGTCAGTGAGAGAGAGACCATCTCTTTAAGGGAATCCAGCATTTGAGGCACTTGTCACTCACATGCCCAAGGGGAGGCTTTATGCATGAATGACAGGTTCAAGCAAGCTCAAAGTCTGCACGCTCTGGGGAATACCTGTGTGGAATGGAGGGTTTCCTGGGCACCATTAGGCTGAGACTGGCCTGGCAGGGGACCCCTGGGATTCCAGACAGCCTGGGAAGGGTGGCCTTGAGTGGAGAAGGAGCTGAGCAGGCCCCACGCCAGGGAAACCACAGGCGTTGATGGGCTGCTGCTCCTGCCGTGGTCTGTGGGTATCGTCAGCACCACATCACAGATGGGGAGGTCAAGGCGAAGTGGCATATGCCCACCGGCATCCTGGGAGCCTGCTGCAGCCCTCCAGCCACCGATGCGGAAGGGGATGCAGTTACAGTCCTCATGCATGCAGAGCAGGGACAGGTACATCTAGAAGGACAGGGCAATTCCCACAATGGGCTCAGCCTTCTGCCAGCACATGACCAGAAAGACCAAGCAGGGTGGTCACTTTAGCTGGGAGCAAGGATAAGGGGCTTCCTGGAGGAGGCCACTCGGGAGCTGAGTCTGAAAAGGTGAGTGGCAGTTCACTGGGCAGACAACATTAGGAAGAACATTCCAGAAACAGAGGACAGCCTATACAAATCGAGAAATGGGAGAGCTGAGGGGCTCTGAGAAAGATTGTTATCTATTTGCCTGCCTGCTAAGCTCCAAGAGAACAGCCTTGGGGAAACCTAACCTTTCAATTTGCTTTCATGCTTATGAGAGAGCTTCTGGAGCTCCAGCCATCACACTCATACTCCAGGCAGGAAGAAGAAGGAAAAAGGGAAAGCAGCCTTCTTTAAAGCAATGCCCAACAATTCCTGTTTATATTCCATTGTCAGAATGCATTCACATGGCCACGTTGCTCAGCAAGGGAGACTGGGAAAAGGTCATTTTACAGCTGAGCACCTTGCCTCTTTTTTTTTTTTTTTAAATTTTAAGTTCTGGGATACATGTGCAGATGTGCAGGTTTGTTACATAGGTGAATATGTGTCATAGTGGTTTGTTGCGCACATTGCCTCTCTTAACAAAATCAGGTCTCGTTAGTAAGGAAGACAGGAAGAATGGACTTGGGGTGACCAATCCGTGTTTGGTATTGCTGGGCCCATTTGAGAGATGGGAAAGCCATTCCCAAGAGGTTGAGTGACTTGCCTGAGGTCGGAGGCTAGATTAAACCCCAGTCCCTTTGACCTTACTTAGAGTAACCCTGAGGGCTTTTTAGAAAGGCCCAGATCAAGTCTTCAGACAGACTTGCCCCGATCGTTGGCCTAAGAAGCCAGCAGAGAGACAGGCATCGCAGACGAACCCAGAGACAATCTCTGTGTGGCTTGCAGCTGTGTGGGTGGTGGGTTGGCTGTACTGGTGTGTGCCCAGGATGAAAGCAAAGCAGCTGCTTCTGCAAGACAGAATTAGCTGTTCCTACGGGTCTGTATCATCCTCTTCCCAAACCAAGGGAACCGTGGAGCTGCTGCTTTCTCAGCTCATCACCCACCCAAGGGACCCTGGAGCCAGCCTTGAGGGCTGTGGTGAGCGCTCATCCCTTCCACATGCTCACTAGAGCCTTCCAGGCCATGCTGGGGCACAGAGGTAATTGGGACCTCCTCCTAGCTGCCAGGGGGAAGCAAACAATTTCAACCGAGAGCTGAGGGAGTCCAGAGTCAGAGACCCAGGGCTGCCTGGAGAGGCAGAGAGGACTTTTAACGCTAGAGCCAAGTCTGGAAGGAGGAGTCCAGGCTGGAGACAGCACCCAGGGGAGAGAGGAGGAGCTCAGCAAGGCCCACCCTGTGGGTCCTGATGGGTCCTGGCCCCACCCCTTGAGCCAGGCAGCCGCAGCCTTCTGAGCCCAATTCCAATGGCATCACAGTGACCTTCTCTCTCTTCTCTTCCCTACAGGGGAGGTACCTCAGCTTAGCTCTTGCACAGTCCCAATACGCACAGGCTCCCTGCTGTCCAAGAATCTGCTTTCCACACAGCCAGGAGTCCCTTTCCCTACCACAGGCTCCCTGCCGCCCAAGGATGTGCCTGAGACACGGCCGGGAGTGCCTCGCCCTCAAACAGGCTCCCTGCAGCCCTAGGATCTGCCTGAGACACAGCCCGGAGTACTTTTCCCAAGCACAGACTCTGTGCAGCCCAAAGAGCTGCCTTCAACCTGGCCGGCAGTGCCTCCCTGTCACCTGCTCCTCCAGGTGCCACCTCCTCCCTGCTAGGTGCTCGAGGCCTCCCTCCAGGATCCTGCCGCTGTTGTCCCCACTGCTCAGGCACACTGCAGAACCCCCTCTGTCCCTCCCTCCCTTGGAGCCCAACTTCTAAGGCACCAAATACCCAAGATTAACAGGCTTTTGTTGCTGAACTGGACATATACATTGGAGTCTTTTCTTATGGTCAAAGGAGTTGAATTCTTGCTGATCAACGAAAGTGTTTGTCACCAGGGAGCTTGTCCTATGAGTGAGCTGGATTTATACTGCACCTGCCACGACACAGCGCCCTGGTGCCGTGGGGATGCCAGGCATGGATGCATTCCACTCCCAACAGCCCCGACTTTATCAAGGGCTGGGACACATGAGGTCTTAGGCCAAATTCTCCATTTAAAAAGCCCAAAAAGTCTTTGAAATAAGAATTCAATGCTGTGTCTCCCTCTCCAGATTTTTGTTTGTTTGTTTTCTTTGTTGTTTTTTGAGACAGAGTCTTGCTTTCTTGCCCAGGCTGAGTGCAATGGTGTGATCTCAACTCATTGCAACCTCCACCTCCCAGGTTCAAGCGATTCTCCTGCCTCAGTCTCCTGAGTAGTTGGGATACCAGGAGCCTGCCACCACGCCTGGCTAGTTTTTGTATTTTTAGTAGAAATGGGGTTTCACCATGTTGGTCAGGCTGGTCTCAAACTCCTGACCTCAGGTGATCCACCCACCTCGGCCTCCCAAAGTGTTGGAATTACAGGCGTGAGCCACCACACCTGGCCCCTCCCTAGCTTTTTGAAGGGAAAAATACTTGCATATCTCATTTCCTGTACTCCTTATCTTCTTGTCCCTGGTTTCCATTTTTTGGCTACTCAAATTCTGAATGTGTCCCAGAAGGCAGTGAGGCCCTTTCTGGAAATGCTAATTATCTTTCCAGATACCCCACACCATCCCCAAGACCAGGCAAATTTCAGGTAATCCTCCTCATTTCACTAGAAAAGATAAACTTCCCTCCTTAATCATTTGTCCCCATAGAAGAAGCCATAGCCCCAACAGAGATGAGTGTCAACAGGCAGTGTCCTACCGCCCACCGTGTGCACATGGTGGCTGCATGACTGCCCAAGGTGCCACCCACACAGGCCATGGGCACCCCACATGGGACTCCTGAGCACGTCAGGAGGGGACCACCTGGGGGGCTATGGCTGAGGTTGTCCAGTCATCCCGAATCTATCTTTGAGAGTAAATAAACAGCTCTCCATCTCCCCCATCTACTGGAATGAAATATTTATGCTTTTCCATAGAAATTCTGAAAGACAAATACAACTTAAAAATATACCAGGTTTGGATTTTAAACAGTATTGACTAATTTGACAGTGATAACCACACTGTCCCCCCTCCCTTTTTCTTTTAAGACGTTATGGCTTGCCTATGTGTGTAGGGCTTTGGGGGCTTTCTCTAGGTCGCATGACTTTGACCTTCAGTGCCATCATCCCGAGGAGTTACTCTTTCTTGTCCCCCTTCTCCGTCTTGCACCCTCCTGTCCTGCCACAGCCTGGAGTCTGCATCTGGGTCCTGCCAGCTGCCATGATGGGAAGCAAGTCTCTCCCACCCTTCCCCAGCCCCTCCCCTCTGTGTCTGCAGATCTGTCTCCCAAGCTGGTTATGAGAGGCTTTTCCAGGCGCACAACGCCCTGCACAAGGCGTCCAGAGAAATAAGCCAGGTCAATGTTGAGGAAATGGAAGAGGGTCCTAGAGTCCTGGGGGTGGACGGGACCCAGTCATTTGGTTTTTCCCTGTTTGGAGGCTCGTTCCCGGAATAGCTGTGGGTACTCGAGAACATGCTGCCCCTCCACACTTCACTTCTCAACATTCTTCCTGGAATAGGAGGACTGGCTACATCAATTTTTTGTCTTGCTTTGTTTTTGAGAGAGTTTTTGTTTCACAAAACAAAACACCTCTAGTCCTGTAAATACAGAGATTTTCACAAAGAATTGAGCGTTCCCACCTCATTGCTAAGATAGGTGGAGATATTTATGATAAGGGCACCTGGTACCTGGTGAGCAGGTGCATGGCCTGTGTGCAGCACAATGAGACAGGGTCCAGAGAGGTAGGATGCATGCCCTTGCAGGTGTGGGAAGGGACAGCCAGCCAGACAGTACACCCTCTGGCGCTAGACTGCCTGGCCCAGCTGCCTAATGCCTACAGCCATATACAAATGTGCCCAGAGCAGCCAAGGCAACTTTACAAGGTGTCTGGGACTGTGTATCTCTCAACACTAAGGGAGAAAATGTTCACTGTACTCATGACACCAGGAAAAGTGTGGGAAAGCTTTCATTAGGCAGAAAGGGAGTTTAAATAACATGAAAGTGTACAGAGACTTTATTTCTTCTGTGTTACCCATGTGGAAACATAAAGATGTTGCTTCCCATCCCTGCAACTCTGAGACCCCATAGGAAGAAATGTATGTGTAATTTCATGAAGAGCTTTATGTGATCCTGGTGAAATCAACATACCTGTTTGTTAATAGGGATTGAGAGTCTTTGGAGTTTAGCCAATGTGAACTCAAGCTAGGGCCTGTCATCCTTCCTCATCCGTCAAGGGAGGAAGTCATATATTAAGAAGGTGAGCTCAGAATACATCAGAGGGGAGGGCCCCTCCACTCTGGCCACCCACAGGGACCCTCCCAGGCTTTCTGTGTTGAACAGTGATAGCAGGGGCAGGTAGAGGGAACTTTGCCAGCCATGCTTCCATGGGCCACTCCTGCCCTGCCTCCTCCTCTCCAGCTGAGTTGATCGCCCAGGTTTGGCATCAGTCAGGGGCTCCTCACCCTAGTGAAGGGAGAAAAGGGACACAGCCCTTGATCATGCAGGTGGACTGAGTTGCAGGTGGGCTGCCTTTTTGAATTTTAGATTCAGGGGGTACATGTGCACGATCATTACATGGGTATATTGTGTACTGGTGGAGATTGGGCTTCTAGTGTACCCATCACCCAGATAACGAACGTTGTTTCCAATAGGTAGTCTTTCAACCCTCATCCCCCTCCCACCCTCTCCCCTTTTGGAGTCCACAGGATCTCTTATTTCCATCCGTATGTCCATGTGTACCCATTGTTTAGTTCCCACTCACAAGTGAGAACGTGTGGTATTTGATTTTCTGTTTCTGAATTAGTTCACTTAGGATAACGGCCTCCCTCTCCATCACGTTGCAGCAAAGAACATGATTTCATTTTTTATGGATGCATAGTATTTCATAGTGTATATATACCACATTTTATTTATCTGGTCAATCATTGGTTCCATGACTTTGCTATTGTGACTATTGCTGAGATAAACATACTAGTACAGGTACCTTTTTAGTATAAGGATTTCTTTTCCTTTGGATAGATACCCAGTAGCTGGACTACTGAATCATATGGTAGTTCTAGTTTTAGTTCTTTCAGAAGTCTCCATGCTGATTTTCATAGATGTTGAAACAATTTACTTTTCCCCCATCAGTGTATGAACGTTTCCTTTTGTCTACATCCACAACAACATCTGTTGTTTTTTGACTTTTTTAAAATAGCCATTCTGACTGGTGTAAAATGATATCTCAGTGTGGTGCTAATTTGCATTTATCTGATAATTAGCAATGTTGAGAATTTTTTCATGTGTTTGCTGCTTATATTTCTTTTGAGAAACGTCCTCATATCCTTTGCTCAATTTTTAATAAGGTTGCTTGTTTTTTTCTGTTTAGTTGTTTGATTTCTTTATATATTCTGGATATTAATTCTTTGTAGGAAGCATAATTTGCAAATATTTTCTCGCATTCTGTAAATTGTCTGTTTACTCTGGTGATCATTTCTTTTGCTGTGCAGAAGCTTTCCAGTTTAATTAAGTTCCATTTGCCTATTTTTGTTTTTGTTGCATTTGCTTTTGGGGTCTTTGTCATAAATTATTTGCCTAGGCTGATATCCACATTTTTCCTAGTTTTTTTTTTTTCCTAGGATTTTTATAGTTTCAGATCTTGTTTGGGTCTTTAATCCATCTTGAATTAATTTTTGTTTACAATGAGATAGGATCCAGTTTCACTCTTCTGCATGTGGCTAGCCAATTTTTCCAGCACCACTTATTGAATAGGGTGTCTGTCCTTTCCCCACTGTTTATTTTTGTTGACTTTGTCAAACATCTATTAATTGTAGGTATGTAGCTTTAATTTTGGGGCTCTCTATTCTGTTTCATTGATCTACATGTCCATTTTTTGTACTAGTACCATGCTTATACTACAGTGTTGTAGTGTAGTTTGAAGTCAAGCAGTATGATGCCTCTGGGTTTTTTTTTCTTACAATTACTTTGGCTACTTAGACTTTATTTTGTTTCATGTAAACTTTAGAATTTTTTTTCTAGTTCTGTGAATAATAATGTTGAAAATTTGACAGGAATTGTGTCATAACTATAGATTGCTTTAGGGAATATGGTCATTTTAACAATATCGATTATTCCAATCCATGAGCATGAGATGTTTTTCCATTTGCATCATCTATGGTTTCTTTCATCAGTGTTTCATAGTTACCCTTATAGAGATCTTTCACCTCCTTGGTTAAATGTATTCCTAGCTAGTTTTTTTTTTCTTTCTTTCTTTCCTTTTTTTTTTTTTTTTTTTTAGGGTGGCTATTGTAAATGAGATTGAGTTCTTGATTTGGTTCTCTGCTTCCATGTTATTGGTGTATACAAATGCTACTGATCTTTGTACATTGATTTTTTATCTCATGAAACTTTGTACCAAAGTTGTTTATCAAGTCTAGGAGTCTATTGGAAGGGTCTTTAGGGTTTTCTAGGTATACAATCATGTCATCAGCAAACAGAGATAATTTGACTTCCTCTTTTCCAAGTTGGATACCTTCTATTTCCTTCTCTTGCCTGATTGCTCTAGCTAGGACTTCCAGTACTATGTCAAATAGGAGTGGCGAGAGTGGGCATTCTTGTCTTGTTTCAGATCTTAAGGAGAATGCTTTTAACTTTTCCTCTTTCAGTATGATGCTGGCTATGGGTTTGTCTTATATGACTGTTAATTATTTTGAGGCATGTTCTTTCAATGTCTGGTTTATTGAGGGTTTTCATCTATTGATCATATGATTTCTGTTTTAGTTCTGTTTATGTGGTGAAGGATGTTTATTAATTTACTGTTTTTAACCATCTTTGCGTCCCTGGAATAAAGCTCACTTGACTGTGATGAATTATCTTTTCGATGCACTGCTGGATTTGTTTTACTAG